TGCTGTGGTTATAAAAGGGCAACATTGGAGATCCTTGTGGTGTCAAGGAACTCTGGTGGCACAGTGCCTAATGCATTTGACTGCTAACCAGAAGGCTGGCAGGTCCTTCCTTGGAAGGGAGACTGGGCAATCTGCTTCTGTAGATTAACCCAAGGAGGGGTTGCTATGAGTTAGAATCGACTCGACAGCAGTGAGTTTGGTTTGGTTTTGGTGGTGTCAGAACGGTTCAGTATCTTGACTTTGGTGGCAGATATATGAAGCCACACAGGCAATAAAATAGCATAGAACTAAACACACACACACGAGTACCACTAAAATAGGGAAAATATTGATAAGATTGGTGAATTGTATCAATGTTATATCTTATGATATTGCACTATAGTTTTTGAAGACATTGCCATGGAGGAGATTGGGTAAAGAAAGAGTATATAGGATGGTTTTGTAACATTTCTTACAGATGTATGTGAATCTACAATTATTTCAATAAAAATTACAGCTAAGAAAAATCTTTGCAAGGGCTAGAAGTCAGAGAGTCATCTCTGAACCACTGATTTCAAGAGGACACCATCAGAGCTGCAAGTCAGAATTCAGAAAACTTCTGTTGTTGCTGCCACCTCTGCCACCACCTCAACTGTCTTTCACACCCATGCAACCAGTGAATAGATTCAAATTTGGAGTCTGGCTGCTACAAATCTTCACATCAGTCTGACCTTGCTTGCCAGTGACCACAGATGTAGGAAGATGGCTTCTGTTTCACTTCCTCTTTCCAGATTGAGCAGGAATACATCTAGTTGGCAGAACTCAATTTGCTTTCACAATGCTAGATGCAAAATAGCCTGGGAGGTATGGCTTTTAGGATTATAACTTTTCTAAATATAATATGGAATAGAGGTTGAGAGAGCCAATCTTAATATCAACCATAACCACCCACTAACTATGTGACCTTGGGCAGGTTCCTTACATTTTCTGATCTTCAGTTTCATCTATAAAGTAGGGGTCAGAATAATATTTACTTCATAGATTTCCATGAGACAAGACACATGTTGCCTGGCATGTTGTACATGCTCACTTAGTGCCCTGTAGCCATTATCACCGTTTTCCTTCTGAGTTATGGTGAAATAAGATTAGCAAATGAAAGTGAAAAGAAAGAAAAGTTAAGATAAAGGAGAGAAGACAGTATTTGGAGGAGAAAGCAGGGGCATGATTCCCTAATAACTGGTACCTACGCAGCGGCAAGAGATGGGAATTAAAGATATGAAAAAAGTTATTTAACATTTTAAGTGCTGTATAGAGTTGCTGACTTTTATCCAATTAAGGAATTTGGAATTGGAGGACTTGTTCTTGTCTGCACATTTTATACTATGTTAAAATGAATATGAAAATGCTATGACAGTCATAAGATGAGGCACAGTTACATCACCTTTACACTGTAAGCTCCTTGCAAATTTCTTTCTCGTCTACTATTGTAGCTTCAGCAGCTAGCATGTTTGAGTGAAGTTAAAAGCATCATTAATTAGTTACCAAAGTTATTAGCTTCTTTCCTATGTTAGTCATTGAATATTACAGCCCCAGTATTTATAGATTCAACCACATACTAGGTATCACACTTCAGTGACCTTTCATCACTTTCTGCAGCATAGTTTCTCAAGGTTGGTGCTATTGATATTTTGGGTCAGATAATACTTTGTTGAGGAGGGTTGTCCTGTGCAATGCAAAATATGGAACATCATCCCTGGCCTCTACCCACTATATGCCAGTAGTATAATTCTAGTTGTGACAATGAAAATTTTTTCTAGACATGGCCAAATGTTCCCTGTTGTTGTTGTGATGTGCCCTCGAGTTGGACCTGACTCATAGCGACCCCTCCTTGGGTTTCCGAGATGATATCACTACAGAAGTAGATTCCCCATCTTCTTTCCAAGGAGTGGCTGGTGGGTTTGAACCACCAGACTTCTGGTTAGCAGTCAAGTGCCTTGTCCCCTAGGTAGGACAAAATCATCCATGTTGAGAACCACTGTCTTAAGAGTAAAATACAGCTAAGACCACTGCCGTTAGAGATGTCCACTGTCCTGCAGCCTGTAACATCCCTTCTGTTGTTGTTGTTATGTACTGTCGAGTCGGACCCGACTCATAGTGATCCCTCCTTGGGTTTCCGAGGCAGTATCTCTACGGAAGTAGATTGCCCAACCTTTCTTCCAAGGAGTGGCTAGGGGGTTTGAATCGCCAGCCTTCTGGTTAGCAGTCAAGTGCCTTAGGCACTATGCTACCAGAGCTCCCAACATCCCCTCTAGTTAGTATTAAATTCTTTTGCTGCTCTAGACTCTGCTGTAACTTGCTCAAGTTGCCCTAACGTCATTGGGAAAAAAACAACCCCCATCATCACCTCCAAAAAACAAAATACCCTCCATTTCCCTCTAGTTGCTCTACTGCCTTTCTTCAGGGAAGTTTCCTAGAGAAATCACCTTCATTTTCCAACCTTCCATTGCATCTATGACTTACCATTCCCCTCAGTATTTGGTAAAAATTTATTTACAGGCCCTCATAGTATTACTGATTTTATTTCTATGATTTCTTCTACTATCATACTTCTTACTAGGAAAGGTGAACTCCCAGTGCCATCATAGGAGGTCTCAAAGCTACAAGATAAATATGCATGTCTTGGCTGAGTATCAGTTTTTCTCAGATTTTTTGGAAAATGCTAAATAATTTATCCACAAATTAACTTAATGGATAAAACAAATCTGTTGCTGTTGAGTCACTTCTAATTCATAGTGTGATCCTATAAAAAACACGTTGCCATCAAGTTGATTCTGACTCATAAGGACTCTCATTGGGTTTTCAAGGCTGTCAATCTTTACTAAAGCAGACTGCCTCATCTTTTTTTCTGTGGAGCATTGGGTGGGTTCAAACCACCACCCTTTTGGTTAGCAGCCATTATACCATCAAAGCTCCTTAGTGACCCTATAGGAGGGAGTAAAACTGCCCCATAGGGTTTCCAAGGCTGAAATGTTTGTAGAAGCAGACAGCCACATCTTTTTTCCCGTGAAGTGGCTAGCTAGTGGGTTCAAACTGTTAACATTTTTGTTAGCAGCTGAGCATTTAACCAACTGCACCACCAGGGCTCCATTTCTCTGCCATTGCTTCTCATGGTCTGTACCATCTCCAATGTTACAGTTCTTCTCATTTCCTTCTAAGCCTTCACTAGAATTGCCTTTGAGATCTATAATTTCACTGACAGTCTCTTTAAGGGAGTTTACTACAGGGCACCTTAAAACACTCCCAGCCTCCACCCATTACCCAATTCCAAAATTGCTTCCACATTTTAGGTATCTGTTAGAGTAGCACCCTACTCCTGGTAATATACTTACATTAAGGCAAATGTAAGTTTTAGATATAATACCGTAGATTTCAAAGACATTTCATGCTCATAGTGATTTCCTCTAAATAAAAACATTTACTCTCCTCTGTTCTAGGGGCTCTTTGATCACCCCAAAGCAGCCCTTTACTGGCACTTGGAACAACCATGTATTCAATCATTTTCCATACAGAACAGAAAGAGGAGAGGCAATGTGCGAAACCAAAGACAAGACTATATATAAAGCTAGGAAGTATTCCTGAGAGGCTTGGTGGAAGGGGCTTGGTGGGAAGGGAGACTTTAAATTTAATTTCTGAGCTTTTCTAATTTTGAGATTCAATGTCTGCAGAGAGTCCTGTAGATCTTGTTGGGTACTCTCCTAGTGTCACTCAGTTTGTGGTTTGAAGTGATGATCTAAAGTTTTCTGTACAGCAGAGCAGTAAGATAGGGAAGTTTCTGTTTCTTCCCTGGTTTCCAGCCAACTGCTTAGGTACACATACCTGCTATCTTTCCAGTGACTGAATCACCTTGGCTCCTTTTCCTGACCAATCTACAGTTGACAAATGGAAGCCAAATTCAATAGACACCAGCTGGGTCCCCAACCTGCATTTGACATTTCTTTGAAATTTGCCTCCTCCCGGTTTCTTGACCCGTGCAGTCTTTTCATTTCCTTATGCTGCACACAGGTAGGGCCAGAGATACTCTTCTTGTGCACTGCCAGTTATCTGAACTAGAATACTTTCGATTGAGCTAGTTGAAATTTAGTGCTGTTACCAAGCCTCAGGGAAATGCAGAAAGTGAGGCTAAAGGCGAAGTTAGTCATTCCTCACGTTTGTGAGCCCTTGTCGCTCTTGCAATGTGAGAAAGCAATGCAAAATCGGACTCCTCAAAAGGCACTGCCATACGTTTCCAGGAATTATTTGTAAAAGTTGATGACTGAGGCACTGCGATACTAGATTTGGAAGTGATGGCTTGTTCCTATGAGTAATGTCAGCCCATAGTTCCTCCCAGCATCCTCGGATACCATCAAGATTTTTGGGAGATCAAAGAGTGTGGAAGACGAGACATGGGGGTTCTGCAGAGGTTAAGACATTATGTCCACTTCCTTCACTCCCGGTTCTGTTCGCCTTCTCTTCCTTTCCTCTCAAGCTACGGACCTAGGCAGGACCGCAGCTCACAAGGCCCGGGCGGCGCAGACCCCGCCCCTACCTTCGCCCAGACCCCGCCCCTCGCCCCACCCACTCGAGCTGCCGCCGGAGGGGGCGGAGCCTGGACGGGGGCGGGGCTTGCCGCCAGCGCTCTCAGAGCGTCGCGGGATGACGCTACTGACGCGGCGCGCCCGGCTTCAGCCCCGCTGCTAGGGCTTTCCAGGCCCGCCTGCCGCCTCAGCCCCGCCCGCCGCCTGCCTGTCACTTTCTGGCGGCCCGTGGGGCAGGGCTTGCGGAGGCCGCGGGGCCGCTCGGCGCCCGCCTCTCCTCCGGCTCCTGCTCCTCCTTCCCCCTCCTCCTCCTCTTCCTCCCTCCTAAGGCAGCTGTAGCTCGCGCGGCACTCACTCCCAGCTCCTCCATAGGTCTCTGCTTCTCGCCTCTTCTTGCGCTCCTTGTTCCGTTTGACTCTCTTCTGTCGGTTGCACGCCTGTGAGGAGATGGCACACGCTCGTGGAGGCTGCCCCAGTGCCCGGGGCTCCGGGGATGGCGAGACGGTCAGGTCCAGGAAGGTGGCACTCATAACTGGCATCACAGGCCAGGTGAGTGAGGGCAGAACCTGCGTGCAGGCGCTGCCTGGTTCCGGGCGTCTGTCGCCCGGCACGTGTGTCTCCGTTCCTTTCCTTGCTTGGGCCCCTGCTTCCAGAACAGCCCTGTGCGCGTCCCGGAAGGTGTCTTGTCCGAGAGGTGGGAGAGGAAAGGTGGTTTGTGTGGAGCATGTTGCTTTTGGAGTGTGCCGAATGCATCAAATGCTTCTAGTATCTCTTGGGTGTGTGAATATGTATACTGCCCGGGATGTGGTCCTCAACCCGTGCAAGGCTACACCGTCCCACCTGCTCACAGGTGACCTGCAAGCCCACCAGGGTGCACTTGGAATTTTGTACCTTGCAGATCCGAGAACCTGGAGAGAGAGAAGGACCGTTTATCTGTGAATATGTGTGGAAGCATCCTGGTGTATCCCAGCGCCCGGGCTGCTTACCTGCATATGCTTGGGAGGCAAGGAAAAAGATGCCTTACCTTGGGCTTGGTCCTTCCCCTACCAGATTTCCAGATAGAAAGGAGAAAATAATAATTAAAAAAAAACCGTAGTGCTGTGGCGTCACAGAGTAGGAAATGTTAAAACAAAACTCACAAAAACTTGTTTGAAAAATTGCTTGAGCTTCAAAGTTCATGTTCATACATTTTGAAGTGTATCTCATAGATTGGTCCAAACTGAGGCTAGGATTCTGTTTTCAAAGAAATGAGATACTTGAATGAGATTCCAAGAGGAGCTGTTGGGAATGTTGGACCCTGGCGCAGACTGACCTTGGCTAGCTTGTGATAGCCATCTCTTAGAGGTGGCAACAGATATGGCCAGTCCACTGTATCTTACCAAGCTGTGCTGTTTTAGAATCAATGGTGATGAAATAATTTTGCTCATGTACTTCTGTAGAAAAGGTGTGTGTGCAACTGGAGAGCTGCTGGTGGTGGGCAATATTCAGTTTCCAAACTCTGCAATAAAGGTGATGTTGTTGTTGTTGTTATGGGCCCTCGGGTCGTATCCGACTCATAGCGACCCCTACTTGGATTTCTGAGGTGGTATCACTACGGAAGTAGATTGCCCAGCCTTCCTTCTGAGGAGTGGCTGGTGGGTTTGAACCGCCAGCCTTTTGGTTAGCAGTCAAGTGCCTTATGCACTACACTACCAGAGCTCCTAATAAAGGTGATAATGATAATAATAAAGGTGATATTATGTTCCAGTCACTTGACTAATATTAACTCATTTAGTTCTCACAACTCATCATAGGGGTACTTTTATTATCACCATTTTACAAGCGTGAATCCTGAAGCCTGGGAGCTTCATTTGGTTATGACTAGTAAGTGTCCAGGAGCTCTTAGCATAGTGCCTAAGGCACTTGACTGCTAACCAGAAGACTGGCGGTTCAAACCCACCAGCCACTCCTCGGAAGAAAGATAGGGCAATCTACTTCCGTAGTGATACTGCCTCGGAAACCCAAGGAGGGGTCGCTGTGAGTCAAATCTGACTCCACAGCACGTAACAACAACAACAGAAGGTGTCCAGTTAAACCCAAATGGCTCTGGAGTCTGAGTTCTTAACCATCATGCTATTTTGCCTCACAAGAGAGGACTAACTGTGGACATACAGATACCAGGTTAATTGATGTTTAGGAATACTTGGTCTTAGCTGTAATTGAAAATTAACAAATGAAAAACACTGCTGGTTATTTAGGGCAACTATTTTTACCTAAAGGAGCTCTGGTAGCATAGTGGCTAAAAGCACTTGACTGTTAACCAGAAGGCTGGCGGTTCAAACCCACCAGCCACTCCTCGGAAGGAAGGTTGGGCAATCCTACTTCCCTAGTGATACTGCCCTGGAAACCCAAGGAGGGGTCGCTATGAGTCGGGCCGACTCGACGGCACATAACAACAACAACAACAACATTTTTACCTAAAAATCACCTTTTATGGCCTGACAAGTATAGGTTCTTGAGGGGATAATGGGACAAAAGAACGAGATAAAGATTTCCTGGAAAAATCAGCACCCATGGTCACCATAAATACTACGTGTGGCCAAAAATGTATTGAATTGAAATCAAGAAATTTGTGTTTAACTATGGCATTCCCACTCTGTTATTTTGGGCCAGTTACTGAGCTTGTGCAAAATTTTATCATATTATGTATCAATGGTGTTTATTGTCTAATATTCCTGGACTTGTATCTGATCCATTTCAACTAACTTGTTTCTATGTATTCATGCATCTTGCTTTGTTTAAGATAATTACAATAAAAAAGTGTTTGAAAATTGTTGAGATGGGTGGGGAGGGCAAAGATCTGAGCTTGAGGAAGAGAACTCTTAAATTCAGGTAATGTGACAGTTCAGGGCCTGTATATCATTTTCTTTCTTTTCTAATGCTGGGACCCTTCTTCAGATGATCCCCTTTTCCTAATTTTCAGATTGGATTTGAGGCTCAGATTTACTAACATGATCTCTTGGAAATAGACTTTTTTTTTTTTTTTTTTTAGTCTTGTCGGTAAATTAGGTAAGCAAGTAATTATTTGGGCATGTTGTATATCAGCTTCAGTGACCAGCAGTATGAATCAATGCAAGTTAGAAATGGAACCTTGTTTAGAGCGTTAAAAGCAGTCATTTGTCTGGTATTGAATACCAGAAAGGAATGTGAGAAGGTAGCCCTTCTACTCCATTTTCTCCTCTTTTTTATTTAATTTTTATTTTAAAAGCTTGTTTTACATTCAACGTTATGTGTACATTTAGTTTCACTTCCCATTTACTGTGTCCAACCCTCACCCAGTCTCCTTCCCTCCCTACCCTGTAACCCTCCCCCTGTGCCCCTCATATTTATGCACTCCTGTTTGTCCTGCATTTCCTCAACCTGAATGTTGGTCCTCTGGTTCCCCATGGTCCATTGCTCTAAGGGATGTATAACCATAGAGTATGTGGGTCCGTCATCCTGGTTGAGTGGTCTGCATGTACATCTTGTTAATATTGGGCTGAGAGCCAGCGCCTGGGGGTGAGTTTTATTCCAGGTGCAGAACGTATTCCAGGGCCATTGTATTGGTGGTCTCACCAGACTCCATCTGACCAGTAATTCTGGTCAATATTGAGTTTTTGGATTTTTTTTGTTCCACATTTTTCCTCCCACTCTATCCAGGATCTCCAGATTTGATCCTTTCTTGAGTGGTTGGCATTGGTAGCTGGGCACCATCTAGTTCTTCTGGTCTTGAGGGCCATCATGTCCTATGACTGATTGCTTCCAAATGCCCTTGTTTTTTTTTTTTTTTGCATTCTTCTTTGTTTCTGATGTTAGGAGACCGTTAGCTGCTCGAAAGCTTTTAAGACCCCTGTCACTACTCACCAATGTAGGGTACAGAGCAAGGCTTTTATGTATTTGTTTGTAATTGGCAATTTGTGCCAATTGAGTCTGGTATTCCCCAGTACTATGGTCCTGAGTTGGTAGATCTACTGGATCTTTTTCCCATAGTGTCTGGGTGTCTGTGAGGGATTACTCTGTGTCTTCTATTGTTTCTGTAAGGATTGCAGGTATTTTGTATCATTGGTGTCTGTGTAAGATTAGCCTCAGCTGAATCTATCTTTGGTCTAGAGTATACTCCTGTTCACTGACCCTCATCTGATCCTCTCAGGTGTTTATGTGTTTATCTGTAGCCTGGTGTTTGGTGTTAATGGTAATGTAATATTGTGCACACAATGGTTGGTATTAGCATCTGTCATCTATCTCTTATGTGCATAATTCAGTGTCCTCCCATTTCCTAATGTTATCATGGTGGTCACAGTTACTTTCCATTTATCCACATCAGCATGTGGGCCCCAGCTAGCCTGAAATTAATCCCTCTCCTTTTCTCTCCCTCTCGGTAACCTACAAAGTGAGTTCCCTTTCCCAAGCAAACCCTTCTTCGTCTTTTTACAATAATGGACTCATACAGTACTTTTCTGTCTGTGATTGACTTATTTTACTCAGCATAATGTCCTCCAGGTTCATTCACGTCGTGAGATGATTCTCATACTCATTATTCTTTAATGTAGCATAGTATTCCATTATGTGCAATTTTTGAGGACATGGAAAAACCAATTGCTAATTTCATATGGAAAGGAAAGAGATCTTGAATAAGCAGAGCACTTCTGAAGAAGAAAAACAAAGTGAGAGGTGTCACACTCCTGGATCTTAAGAACTACTATACAGCCACAGTAGTCAAAACAGCATGGTATTGGTACAACGATAGACAGATAGACCAATGGAACAGAATCGAAAGTCCAGTTACAGACCCATCCATCTATGGACAACTGGTCTTTGACAAAGGTCCAAAACCCATTGAGTGGGGAAGAGACAGCCCCTTTAACAAATGATGCTGGCAGAACTGGATATCCACCTGCAGAAGAATGAAACAGGACCCATACTTCACCATTTTCTCTTATATGTTGCCACAGAGAGTCTTCCAGAAGCACTATGTTTATCATACAGCTCCTTGACCAGAATTGGCCCCACACCTGTATTAGTTTCTTTGGGCTGTGATAACAGAGTGCTGGAACTTGGGTGGTTTCTAAGAACAAAAATTTCTTGTCTCACAGTTTTGGAGGCTATTAGTCTGAATTCAGGATGTTGGTAGGGCCATGTTCTTTCCCAGAGCTCTAGGAGAAAGATCCTATCTTGTCCCTTCAGACTTCTGGTAGCCCCAAGTGTTCCTTGGCTTGCCGATGTAGCATAACCTCTATCTTCACATGGCAGGACCCACTCTTGCATGAAAAACTAAACCAAACCAGTTGTATTCAAGTCTATTCTGACTCATGGAGACTCCATGTATTTCACAATAGAAATGCTCTACATAGATAAGGTTTTCATGGCTGTGAACTTTTGGAAGCAGATCACCAGATCTTTATTTTGAGATCCCTCTGGGTGGGTTCGAACCAATAACCTTTCTGTTATTAGCTGAGCATTTAACCATTTGTACCACCCAAGGATTCCAGCGTGGCCTCATGTTAACTTACCTGACAACATTGAAAAAAACC